ACTCACTAAGCACATTTAAGATGATGTACCACGGTGTATGCTATTTACAAATGATATTGTATTAGTAAATGAAATTCAAAGGGGGATTAATAATAAGTTAAAAATTTGGAGAAAGACACTCGAGTTGAAAGGGTTTAAAATAAGTAGGAGTAAGACTGAATATATATAATGTAATTTTAGTAATAAAAGAAGTAGACATAGTGAAAAAGTTAATATTGGAAATCAAGAAATATCAACAAGTAAATAATTTAGATATTTAGGATTGATCATTAAAAATGATGAAGAGATTGGAGATGATTTAACTCATAAAATTAACGCCGGTTGACTTAAGTGGAGGAAAGCCTCTAGCATATTACGTGATATGAGGATACCAATAAAATTGAAAGGTAAGTTTTATCAAACAGTTATAAGGACAACAATGTTGTATGAGACTGAATGTTAGGCAATTAGGAAATAACATAGTGACAAAATGAGTATAGCGGAAATGAGAATGATAAGGTGAATGTGTGAAAAAATTAAAAAGAATAGAATAAGAAATGACTATATTAGAGAAATAGATGGAGTAGCTCCAATTGAGGATAAGTTGAGAGAAATAAATTAAGATAGTTTGATCATGTTCAACGGAGGCCAATAGAGACACTAGTTCGAAAAAGTGAGATAATATTTCTTAATGGTACTAGAAGTAGGGGTAGATATAAATTAACATCAAACAAAATAATAAAAAAAGATATGAAAATATTTAATTTAAATGAGCGTATAGTGTATGATCGAAATGAATAACGAAAATGGACTCATATAACCGACTCCAAATGAATGGGACATAAGACTTAGTTTGGTTTGATTTAGAGTAAATGAAGGAATACATTTAGTGTATTATATGATAGATGCAGACTATTTAAGGCAAAAGGAAAATTTTATAGAACGACCATAAGACCCAATATATTTTATGGTAAGAGTGTTCGTGACTCCGGTTAACCCACAAATCTATTACCTAGCCCAAAAAAATAGGCCTGAAGTCCGATAGGCCTGATAGTTGGCCGCCCGAGCTCGAGTCTAATATCCTTCAAGAGAGGGCTTGGGTTTGCCCTCAAACCCATTACTCGGCCCTCAAACCCATTACTCGGCCCATGAGCCCTCCCTAAAAAACTTGGCCTAAGAGCTTGCCTTCTACCCAATTGTTTGAAAAAAAGTTGACTGTTGAAATTTTGAAAGTTTGGTAAAAAAAAATGCGTTTAAAAAAAAGAAGTTAGATGCACTCGATGCTTTTAATTATTCATTATTTATTTTTTGTCCATTTGAATATATTTTTAATCAAAAAAAATTGTTTACAAAAATATTAAATTGAAAACTTTTTATATGAAATTGTATATATATAAAAAAAGGGCCGCCAAATGAGTGGCAAGTTGAACTACGGGTAGCCTACCTTTACTTGAAGTCAGGCCCAATAATTCACTCGAGTAAGGACTTGGGTCTATCATACCTAGGGTTGACCGAAAAAATTTTGTGGGCCTTGTCCGCCCCATCCCAAGGACACCCTTTACTTTATGGTGTTGAATATTGGACAACTAAGAAACAACAAGTTCAAAAATTAAATATGGCAGAAATGAGAATGTTAAGAATGTTTTCTGGATTATGAGTTAATTTGGTACGTGGTATGGGTACACAGTACGTATTTTCTTAGATACACAAGACGATTGAAATAGGTTTAGCTAGCATGGTGTTTTCGGCCACACTTCATTTTGGAACCCTTATTTAGAGCATTTTCACTATACAAAATTATAAGTAACAATACATTCATAAAAATATAACCAGTTATTATTTATTTTACGTTTGCACTCGATTTCCTATTATCTCATATTATAAATAATGATACATCCATACACTCATAGTCTAATTAATATTTATTTAAAATTTGTGATATATGTTCTAAATTGAATTGATTTGGGGTTATTATTAAAATATAGGGTCGGACATTTAGGTAATCTTAATCGTGAGCTCACTCCATTTAGAATTGCTGCATCCAAATTGTGGGTCGTTAGGGGTTTAGCAACTTCTGGTAACTATAGTTAAGATGGATGAGGTAAAATTAGGAAGGATAAAATTGGGAACAAATATATCCATGCAAAAGTGAAGGTAGTACTATACTTAATATGAATATGTGGTAAAATTAGAAATGATAGAATTAAGAATGAATATATCTGTTAAAAAGTGGAAGTAACACATAGAAAATAAATTAATGGAGAATAGACTTAGGTGGTTTGAACATATCTACAAGCGACCTATTATGACATTGGTGAGAAAGAGTGATATGATAGTTATTCACGATAAGCATAGGTGTAGAAGAAGATCGAAATTAATTTTAAATGAAATAGTAAAGAAAAATATAATAGTCTAGGAAGCACATATATTCCCCGGAAGGTCGACGTGTTCGGAATATGATTTTTTTTTTGAGTCGGATACAGTAGGGATGCACTGATAACTTGATTATGAATCAGACAAACTCATAACCGAGTTAGGCGATTTGTGGTGGGATTGAACATATCACTCAAAATCAACAAAGAAGAAGAAAAAGCAATTGACGAAGGAAAAGAAGAAATTGAAATCAAACTTACAAAATCAAGCCACTTGGAGTTTCCTTCACACTCCTCTTCTTCTTCTTCACCATTTGGTCATGGCTCTTCAACTCCTCTACAGATTGTCAGTCTTTGTGAACCAAAGATTTCGTCGAGGGAGTTGAAAGGATTTTTTGAGAGTAGGAGTTAAAAGAGGGTTTTTATTTTTTGGATCTGAGGAGCTCAGAGGGTTTACTATTATTACTATTGATTATAATATTTTATTTTATTTCTGTATATTGGTAGGTTGTAAATAATGCTTTGTATTTTTTGGTATTGTTTATTTTGAAGATATTGTATTTTTTATTAGTTATATATATATATATATATATATATATATATATATACATACAATATTATTTTAATTAACCATCTCTTCGCCGTATCCGTGTCCTATATTTTGGAACTTTGCTGTTTCTCCGTATCCGTATTGTATAGGACATGACAACCGTGTCAGTATTCATGCTTTATAGATAATACTCATAATAGTTTAACAGAAAATATGACCCTTAATAGAGCACAATGACGAAACATGATTTATGTAGCCGACTCCAAAAATGTTGGGACAAGATTTTGTTGATTTGAGTTGAAGTATTGGTATGGATTTTTAATCTCCGGTAACACTTATTGAAGTGCATATCTATGAGTTCATTTGGTAATCAACTGGTGTTTTGCACTTCACCTTGGAAAGTTGCAATGCTCATTCTGCATTGAGTATTAATCTATCTCAGGTCCCAAACAAATGTGTTAGAATATATGGTTAGTAGGTTAACAAGCATGCCTTTTGGCCTCTGTTTTATTCTATCTAGCTCCTTCATGTTTTCCCTACCTCATCTGCCTTAGCAATGTGGTCACTTCTCTTATTTGGTCACGGTCAAATGTCAATCCATCATTATGGAGTTTCCTTGCTGCCCATCAGCTTATTACCTGACCTTCATAAATATGCTCATGATAACTTCTTGATTTCATAATATTTAACATTTGTCTCATTTCACTATGAGGTTTGTTGACTCTTTAGCAGCCAAAATGATGTTATAAAGTGTTTCTGCTTATATTGGTGTTTACAACTCTCTTTCGCGCATCATGTTTGTCTGTGGGTCTTTAGAATTGCTTTCATCACATTTGAAAAGAAATCTGCTTCGATTAGTTTTCTGTAATGCCCTTTATTTGGATCAATATTGGTGACTTTTGAAAAGACATTTTTGTTTTGTTATTTCATGGCATCAGCTACTCTTAAATAAGTTGATGATTCTTGGATACAAAATCAGTAACATTTATATTGTTTTATGGTACTTTTGTCTCCTGTAGCTCACAAGAAAACTACTTTTGCAATGTTGATAATGTACTTTCTTTTGTGGATAAGAATAAACATGCAGATGTTGAGCCCTTTGTCTGAAACTTCTTATACTTCATTGAAACGGCAGATGTAGTTGTCNTTTTATTTCTGTATATTGGTAGGTTGTAAATAATGCTTTGTATTTTTTGGTATTGTTTATTTTGAAGATATTGTATTTTTTATTAGTTATATATATATATATATATATATATATATATATATACATACAATATTATTTTAATTAACCATCTCTTCGCCGTATCCGTGTCCTATATTTTGGAACTTTGCTGTTTCTCCGTATCCGTATTGTATAGGACATGACAACCGTGTCAGTATTCATGCTTTATAGATAATACTCATAATAGTTTAACAGAAAATATGACCCTTAATAGAGCACAATGACGAAACATGATTTATGTAGCCGACTCCAAAAATGTTGGGACAAGATTTTGTTGATTTGAGTTGAAGTATTGGTATGGATTTTTAATCTCCGGTAACACTTATTGAAGTGCATATCTATGAGTTCATTTGGTAATCAACTGGTGTTTTGCACTTCACCTTGGAAAGTTGCAATGCTCATTCTGCATTGAGTATTAATCTATCTCAGGTCCCAAACAAATGTGTTAGAATATATGGTTAGTAGGTTAACAAGCATGCCTTTTGGCCTCTGTTTTATTCTATCTAGCTCCTTCATGTTTTCCCTACCTCATCTGCCTTAGCAATGTGGTCACTTCTCTTATTTGGTCACGGTCAAATGTCAATCCATCATTATGGAGTTTCCTTGCTGCCCATCAGCTTATTACCTGACCTTCATAAATATGCTCATGATAACTTCTTGATTTCATAATATTTAACATTTGTCTCATTTCACTATGAGGTTTGTTGACTCTTTAGCAGCCAAAATGATGTTATAAAGTGTTTCTGCTTATATTGGTGTTTACAACTCTCTTTCGCGCATCATGTTTGTCTGTGGGTCTTTAGAATTGCTTTCATCACATTTGAAAAGAAATCTGCTTCGATTAGTTTTCTGTAATGCCCTTTATTTGGATCAATATTGGTGACTTTTGAAAAGACATTTTTGTTTTGTTATTTCATGGCATCAGCTACTCTTAAATAAGTTGATGATTCTTGGATACAAAATCAGTAACATTTATATTGTTTTATGGTACTTTTGTCTCCTGTAGCTCACAAGAAAACTACTTTTGCAATGTTGATAATGTACTTTCTTTTGTGGATAAGAATAAACATGCAGATGTTGAGCCCTTTGTCTGAAACTTCTTATACTTCATTGAAACGGCAGATGTAGTTGTCACCTCTCTTTTGTGAAGCAAAAGTGTTTCCACGAACATACTGTTGGTGGGTGGGCGGTCATAAACGATTTAGCTAAGATAACATGATACCCTGTATTTAGATTTAGTGATGTTATATTTGCATTTTATTCAATTTTTTATTTATTTTGGTCTGACAAATTGCATATGATTGTTGCCGTGTAGACTTTCTACAAAGTTGTTAGGAGCTGGGCTTCAAAAAAGTTTATGACAGGATGGTAAGTTGATTTTGTCCTCTGTAATATATTATTGCTTCAAATTCTGGACTTGCATTCAGAGGTCACATTTTTTCTTATAATTTTTCAATCTATGTTTATGTACTTCACTAATACATAAATTTCTGATGGTTATCATGATGGTAAAGTTGGTTGCAATTTGCAAAGGTTTTTACTCGAGATTGAGTCAAATTAATGGTTTACTGCAGGGGCTATTTTCTTTGTTATGTTCACAGTCTATGTATAGGTATAGTTGTGTTTTGGCATGGCGTTTTTCCATTTGTAAGTTCAAGGACAGGTTGAATACGTAACCTGAAATTGCTACATGAAAGGTTGTTGCAGGATCTGATTTACAATTTTCTTTTTTGGGGCATACATTGGTTAACTGGAGGAAAGGCTAGAAAAAATGATCAAATAAAACGCTTTAAAATGCTTTCATGAACCAAAAAATTAAGAATGAACTGATTACTTGTTCTTGTGGCCATCCAGTAGAAGTGTGGTTATTGTCACTGTAGTCTGTAGTGTATAGATATTATATCGATGTAATAACTGTAGTGAATATACTACACTAACAAGAAGAGATCTTCTTGTGTATCAACAGAAAAGACCAGAAGGATAATGTTACACAATTATGAACAATGATTAGAGCAAGTATTTTCTAGGTCCCTTTCCCACCAAATTCAAATTAATGCATGATGCTGAGAAAGTTGCCATCTTTTGGTCCTTTGATGAATTTTTCCTTTGAGCCCTTCAAAAAATTCCTAATTATACCTTCCAATGATGCTGAACTTGTAAGATTGATGTATATTTGTTTCCTCTTTTCTGCTGTAGTTGTCACTTACTCTTTTAGCTTTTTGGTAGTGTGATCCTGTTCCCAATGGCAGTCACTTTCTATATAACGTGGTGGTTTATTCACTTTGTGGATGGCTTTTTCTCTCCAATCTATGCTCAACTAGGAATCAATGTCTTTGGTAAGCATGTTTAATTCTCTTTGCCTAGATATCTTTTTTGTTTGTGCTAAAGTAATATGTCTAAAGCCTTTACCATGTCAACTCTTTTGGGCGAAGTAATTCATTTTTTTTCTTGTTGTTCTTGCCTAACTTGTTTTGATACAACCATCTCGTAATTTGAGATTTGAAGTGAACATAGATTTTTATTTCGTTCGTCTGAAAATGGAAGTAGCCATGTAAAATTTGTTCCCACAGTTTCTATGGACATTTATTCCTAGGACTTTTGTTGTCAGGTCTTGTGACAGAGTTTAGTTTTCCTTTGACAAAAAAGAAGGGAAATAGTGTTACACAAAAAGCTTTTGTTTTTTCTCTGTTCTGGTTTTTCGTTTCTTACGGTCTTGCAGTGTTGAGATATGCATACTCCAAATTTTGAATGATTTTACATATCTATTCAATCTCCACTTTTGAAATTCAGTTCACTGGAAGCCACTTGTACTACGGAGTTTGTCAAGTAGATGTAAGATGCTGTAGTTGTTCTTAATTTGTTGCCACAATTGGTGTTGCACAATTTATAGCCTATTGCGGCGCCGGCTACTTGTATATAATTTTTGTTTTTACTTTTTTGGACTAGGGAGGTTTTTCACAGTGTCAATGCATAACCGGTCTAATGCCCAGATAAAGGAGGGAGGTGCATTAGGTAGCTGACAACTTGCGTAAATTCATCAGACCAAATATGAATATGAATCCAAATAATAGGCAAAAGAGGATTCATGTAGCCGACTCCAAATATGTTGGGACAAGACTTTGTTGAGTTGAGAGTTTTCACAGTTTCTGAGAATTTGGCTTGGGTGGCCTAACATGAACCTCATACTTCCCCATTGTTTGGTCATACTGCTGAGAATTACTGAAAGTTGACTTGGTGGGCTTCCCTTTACCCATTGACCTTCCCTTCACCGTCATCACTGGATTCTGCTTCTGTTGCAGTGGAATTTCAGCACCTGTCTTATAATTTACAGAGAGACCTAACGTGTCTTGTTTTTTTAGGTTACAAAAGAGGCTAGAATTAACTTAAAGAGTATATTATAAGTTAGTAAAGGTTGTCTAAGAAAATGGCTAATATCTTTCCTTTTTTTGGTGATCTACTAAAGATTTTTGGCAATTAATTTTGTGTTGTATTTCAGATCGTGAATTGTTTATTTGCCTTTATTCTATTTATATTTTGTACTGTTGGATGCCTAAATCTTATCCGATATTGGTTGTTAAAAAATTGATAAACAATTCCTTTCACTATACATTTCTCCTCGAGTTTGACATGTCCTCATACTTCTTGGATAGGTCTGGGATTTGTGACTTCCATGACTTTTATCTTCTTGGTTGGAGTGTTCATGTCATCATGGTTGGGGGCATCTGTTTTGAGCCTCGGTGAGTGGTTCATCAAACGTATGCCATTTGTTCGTCATATCTACAATGCCTCCAAGCAGATTAGTGCCGCCATATCTCCAGGTGTGTTTTTGTTACTCATCTCCTTGCCATGTCAAACTTGAACCACTTTTGAATGAACTATCGAATTTCTGCGTTATTACAGATCAGAACTCACAGGCCTTTAAGGAAGTAGCAATCATAAGGCATCCACGTATTGGTGAATATGCATTTGGGTTCATTACTTCATCTGTTGTCCTCCAGGTAACTTAATCATCTCAAGGAGAAAGTCCTTTCAGTTCCAGGAGTGGATCTTTTTGATTGTGTTAACTATAATTTGAATGTTGGGCATTAGCATTAAAAATTCATTTTTGGATTCTTTACATGAACAATGAATAATGGGGGCCTCATAGAGAAAATGTTCTCTTATGGGGGACTTGTTGGAATTAGTTTTTCTATTTCTGGATACTGCAAATCCTGTTTTGTTCAAGTTTGTAGTCTTAGAGTTAAATTTTGCCTATGTAACTGAAAGTCTTCACTCCTTTGCAATGACAATTTTGTCTGAAAAAACATGGATCTCTTGATCCATCGTGCTTGTCTTATTTGACCAATCCTTCTTGGTTGCTTCTGAGAGTGATGTTCTACAAAAAGAACGTATGAATCAATTTTTTAATAATTTGTGTAGAATGTATTAATGACTAGCTACATGTCAATTTATGTTTGCCTTATCTGATTGCAAATTTCTTTAATATTGAAATCCTATTTCTTTTTAATCCAGCATTATTCGGTAGAGGAAGAGCTATGCTGCGTCTATGTCCCCACCAACCATCTTTACATAGGTGACATATTCTTGGTCAATGCCAGGGACGTTATTAGACCGAACTTATCTGTTCGGGAAGGAATTGGTAAGAGTTCTTCTTGTCTTCTTATAGAAAGTTGCCAACTAAGTGGGATATACACCATTTTTTTCCTGCCTAAAACATGATTCTCAGCCCATTACCAACTATCATGTGTGATAGCTAGGTTCTTGCCACCAAGGCCCGGGGATCCCCTCATTACTATAAAACCGGGTGTTCCTTGCCAATAACATGATTATAGAACTCGAATTGTGGTTATTTTATGGTTGGGATGTTCTGAAGTGCTTGATACCCCAGTTTCATTATGAGAGATGTTCATATTTGAAGATAGGGTTATACATGCCTACACTGTATACCGCTCTGACAAAGAAGGAAAAAATATTGTTGCATTTAATCTCTCCGGGCTCCTTTCAACTGCTGATTATCATGCCAACATATCTCATTTGTTCTCACCTGCAGAAATCGTTGTGTCTGGGGGCATGTCGATGCCTCAGATCCTATCAACTTTGAATCCAAGGATTGTTCAAGGGGATCGAAGTAGACCAGACAGAGGGTGAGAATGAAGACATTAGATGTGGCAGAGTTGTCTACTCATCATCTTGCCGAGTTGTTGATTGAATGATCAGATTGGATATGCAATTTTTCTGTGCTGGTATTTAAGAGTCTGCAATTAGATTTTTATTAGTTGATGCTTCAAGGGTTGTTCCTGGTGGCATACGTAATGTGGGTTGTCATATACAATGTAGGAAAGTAGTGCTTTTGTGGTGATATAGCCGGTTGATAATTCAAGTTGATAGCTTGTTCGTGTTTAAGATTGATTTTACCTCTACCCAGACTGAATGCCACTCATCTTTTGATGGGTCTGCACAATTTTTTATTTTCCAGACTGCGGTTGAGTTTTGTAGATAAGAGGCAATGTTATGGTTTATATGTTGAAAACACTTCTCATTCGGCTTAGCCTTAACCACCTCGAGGGGTATTTTAATGATAGGGTATGAAGGACTGGGGACTGTTTTTTGGGTTGATTGGATTCAGATATACACAGGGATGCAAAGCTCCATCTCCAGCTGGTGAAAAGCCTTACTAGAATTTTATGTTGTGGTGCCGAGTTTTTTTGTCTGCCACTCAGGTGGGTGCAAGCATATGGTTTTCATAGCTTGGGGACTCCATCTAATGCAACTCTGTGGTATGAAGCTTTTTCTCAAAGACAATTAGATGTAATTGTAAAGCATGTGTGGATTGGCTGATAAGGCGTAGTAGAGGGTGGGATATAGTATAAATATTGTACGGGTTTCACTTTTCCCATGATTGGTTTGTCATTAGGAGCCTGAGATTAGCCCAACATGTTTATTTAGGTGTGGAACAGTGGTCGGCTAAGATAACGGCGAGATCTTAATGTATTGGGATGAGGAGTGCTCTTAGTATCATGGGGATGGAGTTAGTAGGTGGGTGGTTTTTTTTTTGTTTTGGGGGGGGGGGGGGGGGG